TGTTATTTGAAGCCCTCATTTTAAAATGGAATAAACTGAGGCCCAAAGGAGGAAAATAACATGCAGAATTCACATAATTGTTGGTGACAGAATGTGATTAACCCCTAGGGTTCCTTGCTAGTAGGTCAGTAGATTTTTCTACTATCTAAATACACTGCTTTGATTGTGTCTAGGACTTCAAGAGGTTTTCTTAATGAGAGAATCACATATTGAACATGTTCTTATTCAAATTCACAGGCTTCCATTGAAAACACACAGCAGGTTGGGGCCGTACTTTGTGAATGTCTTTCATGCCTTCCAGATAATGAGTCAGGCATTCCTCTGGGTTTCTCAGTGTGGGTGTCTCTACATAGGTCGATTGTTTTCTCATTCAAAGCATGTCCTTTGCTGCTGTGCCTGTCTGGTGGCTCCTGGGCCCCTGCAAACAGCACAGACATGCTGAGTGGTTTGTGATCTGGGCCTCTGGAATGGAAAATCCCGTGTGTCTCGACATTCCCACAAGCTAACAAACTATCCACCAGAACATGAATGAGTGTTTTCCAGAAAATACTTGAGAGGCAGTATGGCTTAAACTAAGCATTGCTGCTGTTAAGTGCTGTTGACTCTGTTCCAACTCATAGCGACCCTGCATAGGGTTTCCAAGGAGTGCTTGGTGAGTTTGGACTGCTGATTATATAGTACAAATTGACTTTTCGGTCTAGTGCTTATCCTACAGTGCCATACCAGGACTCCTAAGTATTTGTTGTTGTTGTTAAGTGCCATCGAGTTGATTATGATCCATAGTGACCCTGTATAGGGTTTCTGAGGGGCAGCTGGTGAGCTTGTACCACCGACCTTGCAGTTTAAATGGCTTTGCAGTCTGGTGCATTAACCCACAGCGCCACACCAGGACTCCTAAGTATACCTGGGTTCAAATCCCACACATTTGTGTGGCCTTGGGCAAGATAGAGAACTCCTTGAGGCCTCAGTTTCTTCACCTGTACAGTCAGGGTAATAATGGTATTTATATCACTGAGTGCCTTTGAAGATGAAAAGCTAATTCTAAAAATTTTTTTATTGTTGTTGTTAAGTGCCATCAAGTCGGTTCTGACCCATAGCAACCCTGTATAAGGTTTCCGAGGAGCAGCTGGTGAGCTTGAACCGGTGACCTTGCAGTTCAAATGGCTTTGCAGTCTGGTACATCAAACTCCCTGTCATCAAGTCAATTTCAGTTCATGGTGAGCCCGTATATAATTTACAAGGCTGCAAATCTTTACTGGAGCAGAAAGCCTCATCTTTTTCCTGCAGAGATGCTAGTGGGTTTGAACTGCTAATCTTGAGGTTAGCAATCCAGTGCTTATCCTACAGAACCACCAGGACTCCTTAGAACAGTACTGATGTTGTTGACCTGAGTCAGGTCTGACTCAGAGACCCTGCATAGGGTTTCTGAGGAGTGGCTGGTGGATTTGAACCGCTGGTCTTGTGGTTAGCAGTTCAGTGTCTGTTCTACAGCTCCACACCAGAATTCTTAGACCAGTGCTACCGCACAGTAATTGCTACATGTGCAGGCCATTCTTGAAGGTGACAGAAATGATAACTGGAAACCTCCTTTCTCCCAAGGGATATGATCTACCTTATGTGTCATAGAAGGGTAACCACTCAATCTCAAGGTCAGTGGTTCAAACTCATGAGCCGCTCCTTAGAAACCTTATACAGAGTCGCTATGAGTCTCAACAAAACATATAGGCACCCTCTGATCTATTGTAAATACTCAATAACTGTTGGCTTTAACATCGTAACTGCTTGATGTTGCCTTTTTAAAAATTCAGATTCCAGGCACCTACTTATTATGTAAGCAAAGAATCAGGTGTAGGGCTTGAGCATCTTTTTGTGTGTGTGTGTGTGTTTTTAAGCACCTTGTGTGATTCTGATGACTAGCCAAGTTTAGGAACAAGTGAAGTAGTCTTCATATATTTGAATTATCTTCAGTGGTGAAGAGCTCATCACCTCCCAAAGTCCCCATTTCACATTATATACTTAGTGATATTGAAGTAAAACCTATTTTCCTCTAGCTCCTTCTTCAACCCCCTTGAGGCCACATAGAACATTTTAAATCTCTCTTCCATATGACAGCCCTTCAGATATTTGCAGACAGCTGTCATGTCCCTCTTGAGTATGCTCTTCTTTTGGACAGAATAGCCACATTCTCTCACGGCTCTTAAAAAGTATGGATGCCACAACTCCAATGATCCTTGACATCATGAGGAAGGAAATAAGGGAGTCTCAAAGGGACACAACCTCATGATCTCACATATATGAAATAAGCAAATATTTATGAGCCAAAGCTTATTACTGGTTACCAGGGGTGAGAAAGAGAGAGAGGGAATTTTTATTTGAGGGTGGAGGGGTGTTGCACTTATGTTAATGATGGTAAAATAATTTGGGCAAGGATAGTGCTAATGGTTGCACAGCAGAAGAATGTAATCAATGTCGCTGAATTATACATGTTTGGGGAAAAGAAGTTTTAAAAAAAAGTATGGAAGAATTGGCTCTGCTAATTTGATCTTTAAGAAAATTGAGCTACAAGACTCCCTAGTTATCCTTTGACACTTAACAGAGCTGAAAATGAGGGAGATGCTGAATGGGAGATGACTATAAACCCTCATTCCAGCATGGGTTGAAAATGTCTAGAATGGATATGGCTTATTGTTATGTGTCTTCCCATGCAGAAATCAGAGGCTCCTACAAATTCCTTGATGCATGCAATACTTGAAGAAGAAACTTGACTTCAAATTTCTCCCAGATTCATTTAAATATTGATTATATGAGGCTATACATAACTAACAATTCATGACCATTTATTAAGATTTGTGTCTATTACTATATTTGCTACTCCAGTATAGGTCACAGAAAACAGCTGGACCAAATTTTACACAGGCAGAAACAAATTTTCTCAAAATAATTTACCTGCATCATGACATATCTTGGATGAATTCAATTCCTTCTTGATTCAGTTTCTCACTTTCCCTACTATGGTCTAGAGTACCTGAGTAGAGTTCCAATTCCATGTATAAATTGTAGGTGTAAGGCATAGTGTTGAATATAAAATCAACCATAAGCTGAGAATTTCTGAACAAGGGTTTAGGAATTTTAGGCCCCGCTACTTCTCTGGTAGATTTTTTTTTCCCCCTCCATAAAGCATTATAGGGGAAGTCAAAATTGGTGTTTAATTGTGCATTTCTAGGTTTAGTCTCAAGAGGCAGGAAAATTGGAAATAACCAAAGCATGGTATATAACTGTGCCATATTCATTTGGGAGATACTCAGATTTTTACACCATTCTTAGAACCATGTAGGCATCAAAAGATCTAGCAAATCACGGCTTTAAAAAAAGATACTTGCTGTCAGCATAGAAAAGGGAATTCTGAAATTTCTCTGAGATGATTGAATGACTTCACCATATCTGATCACAAACATTATTATTTTTGTCAGTGTTTAGAAAATAATTATTATAGAATTTCTATTCAGTACACTGGATACTGCATGAGTTTTAGATAATATTAATTTAAGACCACCTATTCCAAAGTAATTCCTTTCCAGAATTAATAAACTGAGGATTTGAAAGGGTAAATGTCTCAGACAAAGTCACAAAGCTAGTTTATGACATTACTTATGTCTTTGGACTTCAAGCACAGTGGTCTTTGCTGCATTTAATCTTTTCACAACAGGGCTTCCCACCAGTTGCAATTTTGCATTGGAAATGGAATCCACGGTAGTAACACCACGGTCAGGAAAGCAGTAGTTCAAGGGTCAGGACATGGGAAGATGGCCAGGGGATGATGCAATATTACACTAGCAAGTGATGTCATAGCATGATTTCCTAAGTGATTTACATAAATGCAAGTTCCCAAGAAACCCTGACAAATGCCAGCCAGTGGGAATGCAGGCATGAAGAACCAATAGCAAGCAGAGAAGAGGAGCACAGAGGAAACCTAGATCTCCTAACCCATCACTGTGACGAAGTCCTGGTAGACCTCAAAAACCCAAGAAAATTCCCTGTTATCTTTCTAATCTAGTGGCTTCCCTCAGGCTCTTAAGTTCCAAAGAGCCTTGATTTTCTTCATCTCTCTGTTTTCACCCACGAACATCCAGGCATTGCCCAAAACGCTGAGAATGACTTCATGTGTAGTGAAAGCAAGTTTAGTAGTGAGACAGGATTTTACATTCTAAACTTGATCTGCTTTCTTCATTATAATTTAGAATCAGAAGATATCAACTTCGTTTCTGGGAATATCAATCTTATGGAAATGACAGAGACATGTATTAGCTGGGTTTGAGAATGATGCAGGCAAGAAGACAAATGGATACAGAATACCAGGACTGCAGTTTTGTTTTCATCCAAAACAGTGAAATATGTATTAACAACTAAGTTTTCATAACATACGTGTGTGTGAGAGAAGGCGATATACCAGTCCTGGAACTAGCTGGCAATGGAAGTTCATGAAAATATCTAGTTAGACCAAACTCATAAGAAACTGATGAGACTATTTTGAGAAATAAGGAAACAATTTAGAATGTGCCAGGCTAGGTAAGGGAGTATCTCCCCCACCTCTTGCTCCTCTGCCTTTTTTCCTCCCCGCTTCCCTTCCCATGCCCACTGAGATTAAATTTAAATAAAGCTAAAGACCCCACCACAAGTCAAAGATCAAAGCATTTCACCACATGCCTAGGAATTTGGGATTTGAAGATGGAAGATTTAGAGAGTTTTCTCAACTGCAGAACCTTCCTAGAGTGCCAAGAAATCTCATTGTCATGAAGCTTATACCAAAAACAATCAACAAAACCCAAACCTTTCATCCCACACAGCATCAGTCTTACTGGGAACAGAGTCTGGACACCTGCACATTCTCAGCAATAGTCTGAACTATTCCTCTTCCCTCATCACCGCCTCCATCTCCCCAAACACCCACCAGAATATCATAAACTAATTATGTGGAGGTATTGAGGGGAATTTGCAAATACCTTCTAGGCAGCAGGTTCTCCATAGCCCGGAATGGGTCATGACTTCTTCATTCTTCCTGCTGGTTTCATTATCACTTGTAGATTTAGTCCTGCACACACCTCTGGAATATAACCAGTAGTCCGTGCCCACTGCAATGGTCATTAAACTAAACGCTGCAAAAGCTCCTACAGTAGTGATCAACATCTGGATACCTCTGTCACACATCCTCATAATTCTTCATGGTACCCTGGACAGCTGGGAGTTTGAGGGAGAGGGTCAGTGCCAGAGGGGAAAATCACTCTGCAGCTGGGTAACCTAGGGCAGGATCTTCCAATTCGGGTCTCCTTTTGTCAGCATCCACCAGGACTTTGGGAGAGCTAGGATTTCCTGTCTGGAGCTCTCTCCAGTTCCCTGGGTCGCCTATGGCCCTCGGAAGGGTGTAGACTCCAGGGGGGTCCACATCACTGCTGCCTGCTGAGGGTCCCTGGGTTCCTTTCATTCCTTACAAGCTTGGCAAGGATGACGGTCCGTGCAGGACATGGCTCCGGTGCCTGGAGCTGCCAGCTTGGGTTGAGATGCGCCTGGCTCCTCACAGCCCCGGGAGACTCAAGGCAAAGAAATCCAGAGAGGTCTGTGTGTGTGCGCGTGCGTGCGTGTGTGTGTGTGTGTGTGTGTGTGTGTGCGAGCGCGTGTGCTGGGGGTGAGGGCGGATGGCAAAAAATAGCACTGCTGGGAGGCGAGTCGCTGAGAAGAGTGTTCACCGCTTTCCCAGCCTCCCAGGAAAGCTCTCCGCCTGCTCCCCACACCCCCGCTCAAACTGGAGAAAAGACAGGAGTCCTGGGGCGGGGGCCGGTGGTTTCATCGAAGGGCAAGGGTTTGCGGTGCTGAAAGGACAGCTCCCCGCCTGTTGCCCCGCCTCCGCCTTTCTAACGCCCAAGCTTTAAGGTCTGTGGTTCTGAAGGGACAGCTCCACTCCTGCTACTGCACTGTCTCCTTTCTAGCCCCTGGGCTGGAAACCTGAGATGCTGAAGAGACTGTCTGCCCCCTTACCCACGTCGCTTGACAGGTTAGCCAGACGATTGGGCTCTGCCCAGTCAAGCCCACGCTCTGCGCAAAGTTTTGGTGCCCAGGGCAGTTAGTGCCCCAGCTCCTTGGCATGATCCAGTTCCTCCGCTCCGGGAAGGGTTAAAAAAAAAAAGGGAAGGGGAAAGAAACCCGCAGCGCACTCTGGCGATCTTTCAGCTCCCACCTAGCAGGGCTGCTTCTCCCACCAATGAGCCAGGCAAGTTTGTCTTTTGCTGTGGGCGCCTCTGGAGCCCTCTGTGGAGAGAGAAGACTTGAGTCTCAAAGGGACCGGCAAATCCAGACGACGGTTCCATGGCTCACTTGGACGTGCGAAAAGTGTTGTCACAGAGACATCTGTGTATAGCCTGTCTCAATTTGGTTCCCCAGAAAATAAACCAATATGTCTACCCTCCTTTCTCTGGAGCTGTGGTTTACACTAGAGACAACGTGCTCAGATTAAACCCGGAACTGTTCATATACATATGATCATTTGTTCCTGAAAGATGAAAGGAGCTAATGTATAAATTTTTTCTACACGTTGCAGGGACTTTGGACAAAGTACGTGAACTTTTGACCTGTGACTACACCTCATGTATTTTAAAGCCCTTACATTTGAGGGAGTGATAGATTAAAGGTAGAGGAACCATTGAGAACATAAGATTTTTTCCCAAAGGCTTCTGGGATGCTCCCTTGCTAACTAACATTCTTATCTAGATCAAACCTTGAGACAGGAGAAGTTAGGACTGCTCTTCTTGTTAATCCAAAATGCAAATTAGATTGCTAACCTGAAAGCTAATGTATTGCACAAAATCAGCACTGAACTAACTTTTTATTACTATCTAAAGGAGTTCTGGTAGCATAGTGGTTACAAATCGGGCTGCGAACCGCAAAGTCAGCAGTTCGAAACTACCACCTGCGCCGCGGGAGAAAGATGAGGCTTTCTGCTCCGTAAAGATTTACAGCCTCGGAAACCCTGTTCAGGGTCGCTATGGGTCAGAACTGACTAGACGGCACTTAACAACAACAACATTCTGGTATATAGGAAGACCCTAGAAGAATTGATGCCTTTGAGTTATGGTGTTGGAGGAGAATATTGAAAGTGCCATGGGCTGCCAAAAGAGCCAACAGATCTGTGTTGGAAGAAGTGCAGCCAGAATGCTCCTTAGAGGCCAGGATGGCCAAATTTCGTCTCTCATACTTCAGACATGTTGTCAGAAGGGTCCAGTTGCTGGAGAAGAATATCATGTTTGGTAAAGTGGAGGGTCAGAGAAAAAGAGGAAGACCCCCGGGAGATGGATTGCAAAGTGGCAGCATCAATGGGCTCAAGTGGCAACAATTATGAAGTTAGCCCAGGACTAAGCAGTGTTTCCTTCTGTTGTACATAGGGTCGCTGAGTCAGTACCGACTCGATGGCACCTAACAACAACAACAATTCTGGTATATAGGGATCCCTGGTAGCGTAGTGGTTACGAGTCGGATTGCTAACCTCAGGGTCAACATTTCGAAACTACCAGCCGTTCCGCAGGAGAAGGCTGAGGCTTTCTGCTCCTGTAAAGATTTACAGCCACGGAAACCCCATACTGGGTCGCTATGAGTTGGAACCGACTGCACGGCACACTACCACCACCATCATCATTCCGCTATATTAAGTCCATGGGGAAGGGGTGCAAACAGTTAATGTCCATGCCTGCTGACCGAAAGGTTAGAGGTTCGAGTCCACTTAGAAACACCTTGAAAGAAAGTGTTGGTGATCTACTTCTGAAAAATCAGCCCCTGAAAATTCTATGGAGCAGAGTTCTACTCTAACATACACGGAGTCACCATGAATCCGGGTTATTTATTTATGTATTTTTTCCCCCGTAGAGCTAAGGTCCATTAGGAAAGGGGCTTGCAAGAGAGACAACGAGGGCTTCATACAACATTTTACCCACATCTTCCCAAACAAAAGCTTTGCTGGGGTTTTTAAAAGATTTAGGTGAGGGAAAAATTTTCATGTTTATTCATAGGGATAGGTGGGAATTTTCAGGAAGTGACCCGTTTAGGAAGGGCCATGCTAATTGTGTGCGTGTGTGTGCGTGCTTGCGTGCATTCATGCGTGTGCGTGCGTGCGGCCTTCCGTCAAGATGGAGTCCACTGTAAAGGTGGTGGTGGTGGTTGTTAAGTGCCTTGAGACGGTTCCAACCCACCGCGACCCTGTAGAGGGTTTCCGAGGCCCACAGACCTTGCGGCTCAAACTGACTTTGCAGTCCAGCGATTTAACCCACCGCGCCACACCAGGACTCCTCTGCAAAGGTAGGGGCAGGCAAAACTTATTCTGGGGTGTCACATATGCATGTAGTTGTTGCTTTTTAGTACCGTCAAGTCTGTTCCAACCCGTAACAACTCTGTATAGTGTTTCCAAGGAGCAGCTGGTGAACTTGAACTGCTGACCTTGAGGTTCAAAGCGACTTTGCAGTCCAGAGCCACCTCAGATCTTTAGAACTTTGGTTTCTGCCCCTCCCAGGGGCTGCTTTTTTCTGCTACAAGGTGGGTAAAACCATTTGGCCTAAAAAAACATCTCATTTCATGCCATCGAGTCAGTTTCAACTCCTAGGGACCCTGTCCAAGGTTTCCAAGGAACAGCTGGTGGATTTGAACTGCCAATCTCATGGTCAGCAGCATAGTGTTTAACCTACAGCGCCACACTAAAATATCGAACAAGGAAGTAAAACATGGGTAGTTGTTTACAGTAAACAGATGGTAAAATGAGCAAGGTCTTGTGATTAATATGTTCACATTCCAAGAGGCCCTCTTGGCTCCCTGTTTCAGAGAGACTTGGAGAAGTAAAGTAGCAGATATTTGGGTTGGGCCAACGAAGGATCCGTCATAGCTGCTCAGGGGGTATTTCTTAGGGGTTATAGAGTTACAATTCTTAGAAATTATCCACTGCCGAGAGTGCACTCAATGAACATTTATTGAGTCCCTACTTTATATAAACCAGGCTTTGGACAAGATGCTGAATATACAGTGGAGAACCAAAGAAATCCCTTGAATCCGAGTTGTCTTAATAGGACCTGGAACAGAAATGCTGGCTTATACATAGGTACACACTGGGTTGAATAATAACAATCCACAGAATTCTCTTTATTTTGTTGTCTCTTTGGAACAATGTGGTTGATGACCAGTGGTTGGGTATTTGGAACTGAGACTACTTGGTTGTTTCTACAGCACTTGATCTACCCACAACCAACTGTACTCTTTGAATGTTATTTAATTGAACAAAACATGTAATAAGAGATCATCATGAGCACACATACTCCCATGATGCTGTTTCTCGAAGCTTCTGTTTCAGATGATGGAGTAGCAACAACAGATCAAAGTGTCATCAAGTGCACATCACAACTGCTAGGTGACTTTGCCACTTTTATTTCGGCATTAAGGTCATTGAAAGGCTTGGTTCTTGGTGCTAGATATACATGCAAGTATTTATGCATAGGTTTGAATGTATAGTCCCAGCATGCATTTATGTGAGTGTTCAAATTGTGCTATGCTCAATTTAGTTATGAGTTCAAACTACCTATGAATTTGCTATGGAAGTTAAGCAGGTATGAAGCGATAGGTATGTACCTCCATGGAGTATTGTGGGACATATGAAAATGTTTATTGTAAATGCATGGCTGTTTGCATGTGTGTGTACACCCCTGTGTGTAGGTGTAGTGTGGGCTTGAAAATGTAGGTGTGTTAATCTGTGCATTTATTTGAATACTCATGTTTCATAGTTCAAAAATGCTGATTTGTAGGCAGGAAGTAGAAAGACTGGATATCCAAAATAGAATAGATAAGGGACTACAATACCCCATGTGATGGTAGTGGCATTTCAATATTTATCTATTTGGGATTCTTACAGTTTCTTGGCTATGAATTGGGTTAATTTCAGGAAACCTCAAATATGGCCCACCAAGCAGTGTAGAGGCATGTGGAGGTCAGCTTATTAATGCCAGGTCTGTCTCACACTGGACTTTAAATGCATTTGATAGTGATATCCCCAGTTCCAGAATTCATAATTGGAATAGACATACTCACCAACTGGCAGAACCCCCACATTGGATCTGTGACATGTAGGAAAAACTAAGTGGAAATCATTAGAACTGTCCCTACCTAAGAAAATAATAAACCAAAATGAATTCCACATACCTGGAAGGATTACAGAGGTTAGCGCCCCATTACGGACTTGATTTAACTCACCGATTTGACCTGCATACACACACACACACACACACACACACACACACAAGATTATTTTTGGAGAATGACTGTAAATTATTTTAAAGTTAACCAGGTGGTGACTCCAACTTCAGCTGCTGTTCTAGACATGCTTTCATTGCTTGGGTAAATTAATGCAGCTCTTAGTACTCTGTTGTTGCTAGATGCCATTGAGTCAATTCCAATTTATAGTGACCCTTCGCACAACAGACCAAAACACTAGCTGGCCCAGAGCCATCCTCACAATTATTGTTATCATTGAGCCAATTGCTGTTGCCACTGTGTCAGCCCATCTCCTTGAGGTTTTTCCTCCTTCTCACTGACCCCCTACTTGACCAAGCATGATGTCCTTCTCCAGGAACTGGTCCCTCCTGATAACATGTCCGAAGCATGAGAGACTAAGTCTTGCCATCCAGGCTTCTAAGGAGAATTGTGGCTGAACTTCTTCCTACACAGATTTGTTTGCTCTTCTGACAGACCATAAACTTTTAATATTCTTCTTCAACATCATAATTCAAGTGCATCAGTTCTCTTATGGTCTTCCTTAGTCATTGTCCAACTTTCGCATGTATGTGAGACCATTTTAAATACCACGTCTTGGGTCAAGTGCACCTTAGTCCTCAGACATCTTTGCTCTAATACTTTAAAGAGATTTGTGTAGCAGATTTGCCTAACACATTATGTCATTTGACTTCTTGACTGCTGTTTCCATGAGTGTTGGAGCCAAGCAAAATGAAGTCTTTGATAACTTCAGTCTTTTCTCCACTTATGACATTATTTCTTGGTCCAGTTGTGAGGATTTTTGTTTTCTTTACATTGAGGTGCAGTCCATATTGAAGGTTATGAATACTTACTGATGAAGTCTTTCATCTTCATCAGTGAGTATTTCAAGTCCTCTTCGTTTCTAGAAAGAAAGGTTGTATCATCTGCTATCACAGATTGTTATTGAATCTTCCTCCAATCCTGATGTCACATTCTTCTTCATATAATCTATCTTCTTAAATTATTTGCTTAGCATACTGATGAAATAAGTATGGTGAAAGGATACAATCTTGATGCACGTCTTTCCTGATCTTAAACCCTTTTTGGTATCCCC